GGGAGCCCCTTTCCCCTCCCGGGGCCTTAGATCAGCGACCAGAGCAGGCAGTAGGCACTACCAGCGCGAGTGCGATGCGTACTGACAGACTGCAAACCGCAAAGTGAAAACAGGAATTTCAGAGTAAAGTGAAAATAAAAATGTGGCGGTGATCACCTTAAAGTACAGCATGATGAGTGACTTCTGCCTCCTGTGGCTGTGGTGTTTGCAGCAAACAAATTGGGCCACACATAGCTACTGAGTGGATTTTAATGTTTGCCCTTTCATTCTTCCCTGCTAACGTGGCGTCCTTTGCTCCAAACCACAAGTTTCCCTCGTGACGCCTCCATGCCAAGAGACACCGTGCAATTTGTGGCTAGGCAGAAAATTATACAAACCCTGGCTGGCTGGCATGGTGCTCCCGAGCGGAATATACAGCCACCAAGCAGCTTCTGCCTTCCTTCCCGGGGCTGCTTCGTATCCTGATACCCATTGGGCCTAAATGATCATAAATGCCTTCAAAGTCACCTGCTTCTTTCACAACTGGAAGTGGCTTCTAGGTTTGAAAATCATTAGGTGGCCTTACAGAAAGACAGACACAAAGTGCAGTTGCACAAGCCTCGCTGCCCTGTAAACGAAGCAAAAATATTCTAATCTTGCCTATTTTTACTAACATAAAGCATATATTTTAGCAATAACAGTACTGCAAATATAGAAATGCATATTGGTATGAAGATGGATGTATGCAATCTAAGAAAAAACATTAGGATACTACCTCAAAGCAGTTTTAGTCCAATGTCTGTTATATTGGACCTATGCCTACTGCCACTGCAGACTTTGGCTGAACTCTTAAATAAATGCAGTTATTTATTGCTTGCCTTCCTTTGGAATTCTTTTATGGTGTTAGGAATGGACCTTTCTAAGTGATCCATAGACTTTTCTTTTTCAGCTTTATCCCACTGCAAGACAACAGTAAATACCAAAGAGTGTGCACACCTTCCGAAAAAAAAAAGGAAAACTTTAGAAAAGTTACACTTTTAAAGCCAAAGTGGTGTTATCTGAGTTTGCAAGAATAGATCCTGGGTTATAGAATCCAAGAATAGGTAGAATGGAATAAAAGCAAATCAAAAGTTCCTCCTGCCTGTCATGCTGTTTTTATTCTCCTCTAGTTCTTTCTGTCACTGACTTCGCCTGAATTAAAAATAACGAGCTGTCTTCATAGCCTTCTGATCTAATCCTGGCACATTTACACAGTGCAGTTCATCAAATTCAAGGCTAAAATGACAATCCAGTCCCAAAACTTTCAAAACATGCAGCTTGCTTACAGTTTTTTCTTCTCTTAATCAAACCTCATTCTCTTGAACAGCTTATTTTTCACATGCAGGTTTTATATTAGCCCTTGTAAATCATCATAAAAGTAGTTCACCCAAGTCATTTACCTGTTGTTGTACTTGGTAATTTACCATATGGCATCATTAAAATTAACAGCACCCAAACCATTGCTCTTATATGTATTATCTTGTATGTATATCAAAATTCCTAACAGATAGAAACAAAGTAGATTGTTTAGAAGAGAGCCTTGAAAAACTGCCCGATGGCAGCTTGTACTCTGAAATATCATTACCTATGCCTGATAGTTAGTAAGATGGAGAACTAGAGTTTGTTTTCACACTGGAGCTTTGAAATTTCCTTTAAAACAAATGGGCAGTTGTCTGAATCATTGATATTTAACTAATACAAGCACCTTTTTTTTTTTTCTTGTTTCATTTGCCAGCTGCGGTGTCTGATTCCCACTTAAGTTAGCCTTGAATATTTCTATAGTGCAAAACAGGCCTGTGCCATTTACCACAGAAGCATCGTTCTCCTGACGTCTATCAAGGCTCAGGAGGCAAAGTCAAAGTCTTTGTTTCTGTTTGAATTAGGGGCAAGTTCAGTCTTGCCTTCAGCTCGTTAAGTTTTAAGCAATGGCTTTGTCTCTCCATGCCTCATATTTTCATTCTGTGAAATAGAAAATGTACTTCTGCACTCCATCCATACAAAAAAAAATAAAAGATTAATTCTATCAAAATCACAAGGACAGCTTAAGATTTGTGTTTATGTTATTCATATACTTGAAATATATTTGCATTCCTAAAAATGAAGAATTAGGTGGATGAAAATTCAACTTACAGGGGGCAACATTCTTAAATTAGAAAGAAATGAGAAATGTTTAAAGTAATATTTTGAACAGTTAAAGCATGAATTAAACATTCCACACTCACACTAAGAGAATTGCTGTGTTTTAACATCAAAGAGGCTGTAATCACTCTCAATACATGATAATAGCTATCACCAACCATTAAATTTGCTAATGTCATTCTCATAGCACAGAAATGTAAATATTTGTTTGCCTAGATTTAACTACATGTGAAAAGCAAACAAACAAAACCCCCATATTTGTTCATATAAACAGGAAGGGTAATTATTGTCTTAATTGAGTGCTTTTACAATAATTATTTAAAAACAAAGTGGTAGATGCTAAGTATTTTTTCCCATGAACCAAAACGTACACGATGCTACCGCTTGAATGGAGCATGTAGGCCAAAATGATTTATTGACGATTTATTGACTGCGTGTTGCTAAGCACGGGGTGAAAGGCTCCGATTTGGACTTTGCTGGGCTCCAGCAACGTCCTTTGGGTGGACACAACCACTTGAGTGTCACTGCTACGCGTGGGAGCACTTGCCACAGTCAAACTCGAACGGGGCAAAGCAGTCCCACCAGTGCCCTTTTCTATTGATGTCCCCATTTAAGAATATCCTTCCCAAGGGAAAAGTGTTTGGTCCCAGGTCGGGGGTGGCACTCCAGGAGGGTCTTGGTGGGGCCTGGTCCCATCGCCCTGCATGCTGCCACCCCTCCATTTTGTCCTCGCTCGCAAAGACGCAGTTGCTGTGGGCTGTGAGGAGGCCTCCCCTGCCCTGGAGGAGGGAGAAGCTCTGCTCTTCCAGAGGGATGTTTTTCATCCCTAAAGTGAGGGTCTCGCCGCACAGATGGGGATTTTCTCTCCTCGGGGAGCTCTGGCACCAGCCATGGTGCTCGCCCCAGCATGAAATGGCGGCGCCTCCTCTTCATCTTCATGCAAACCCCTTAGCGTTGGGGTCCCGTTGTGGTCTCTGTGGGTGCACAAGGCAGCCACCATGGCAACCGCGGTGCCCTCAGCACGGCAAGCACGGAGCCATGGGCAAGGGCAGGCTGGCCAACCCCTGCACTGAGCGTGACGGCGCCTGGGTAAGGGACGGCGGCCACCGCCAGGCTGAAGAACCTGGGAGCCATCCCCAAATAGGCTGTTTTTAAATGTCAACCCTCCAGGGAACATCCCGCAAGGCTTGGCCAATGGCTGTCACCTCTTCTGAGGTCCCTTTCCTCAAGGGATCTGATGGCGGGGGAAGAGTCTGCTTTAGCCAAGGAGACTGGCTGCAGTATGGAATTGGCTGCATTTTGAAGGAAAACAAAGCTTCTTGACCCAGATCTGAGGGAAAAAGAGACATAAGGGGACAAAGGGGAGCAAGCCAGGAACCGCTGCAGCTGTCAGTGGTGTCACCCCAGCACCACAAGACCACCACAGTGAAGGTCCCATAAAGTGCTGCACGAAAAAACGTGGTAGCATTGCACTCACTTCATGTGGAAAAAGACGTTACAGCGTAAGTGCTTTTAACAGATTAATTACCATTATATGAACAGCTTTCAGAAACTTCCTGGGGAAATAATATTCTGTGCTCTTTTTTCATATTTTACTCATCTACATCGTGTTTTTAAGGTAGGGTTTGAGTGTTATACAGTGGGAGCGTCGTTCTTCGCAAGGTCACTGGGTGGTGGTGTAACACCAAAAATGGGAATAACTGACAAACTACAGTTTTCTCCACGTTTCTGATTGGGTTTATTTGCTTGTTTTCTAGTTTGTGCATTTGGGACTATGCCAGAGCCAGCCCGAGTCAAGCACTGGTTCTGCTCTCAAACAGGGGCAAGATGCAGGAGAAGTGCAGTACCTTGCGCAGAGGTTGCCACCGGGCTACCGCGCACGGGAGCGGGTGAGTTGGAGGGTGTCCCAGTGCGCTGGGGTCTGCTGCAGCCTAGAACAGCCCAGGGAGAACATTCAGTGAAATGATGATCTGCTCTTTTGAACTGAGCATCAAACACTCTGTGCCTTTAGGAAAATGGCCATTTTCTTATAACTGCAAAGTTAGAAATTTCATGTTGGAAACGTCTTTAAAACTTTCTTAAAATTGAGAATATTGGGCCAACTTTGGAAACATGGTACTTCTAAGTCATGAGTATTTATAATGTATCAATTTTATCGGCATGTCTTTATGTCCTAATTTAATGATCATGCTGAGCTTTGCTTTACCCAAGCCCTTTGTGCACAAAATATTCTCTGTTTTCATTACTGATAGGCATATAGCTTTATACTGAGTTCATTTCATGATTTTTGGTTTTATCAAGAGCAGAAATGGGTTGGGAAAGAATGCTAAAAGAGGAAGCTCATGAGTAGTGAAAAAAGGTTATAGTTTTTGTGACATAGAAGGTGCTTAATTTAAGCCCATCTATGAGAAAGTGTCCATTGCACTTGGTGGGCAACAGTGCTCACATGCATGAACATGCATGTGAACATGCAGCACCTTCCAAAAATGAAGCAAATGCAGCTGACTGCATGCAGGCAAATTTTCATTTTTTGATTATTTTGGTTGGATCAGACTTCTAGTGATATCTATCTTTAGAACTGATTCAGACTATATCTCATAAAAGCTACTTAATCTTGAAACCATTTTAAAAATTGGATTACATTAAAACTCATCCCTCTGTATAGAAGTGAATATCATAGCTGGAAAATGAAAACTTTATTCCACAATATTGAAAGTAAAAAGCACTAGATCAGTTACAAAAAAAAAGTTTCCAAAATGAAGCAAAAAAAAAATACATGACAAAAAATCAAGGCAATCTAATCGCACAGAAGTGTTTTCAGTGTTTCACATTTCAGCTTAAAAAATGAAATGTTAATTACTTTTTGAACAATTAGGGTTTTTTTGCAGCTACAGATGCCCTTTTCTCCTAAAACTGTAATTTTGCTTTAAAGACTGGAAGAACACTATGCTAAAAAATGAGATTATAAATTACTTATGTGATTAATACCTCCTCCACTTCCCCTGCAACAAGCAGTGTACATGACACACAGTACATAAAGCATAGATTAATTTGGTTTTGAGGTCCCTTTTGTAGTTCATATTAATTAGCTTTGGGCTTACTGGTCAATCAAACAATGCAATCCTGACATATGTCTAATATTTTGCCGGTTGTAGACGGAATGTAGCGTTTCTTATTTGAAAATTCACACTTTCACTTTTTTAGTATTAATCATGTATATGTTCAGTAATCCAAGGGAACACACATCTTCCTGATGTTTTCTTTAAAGCCTATTTTGCTGCAATAAAATGACATCGATGTTAGAAGATACGCAACTGTACTTTGGTATCTGTCAGAATATAAGACCTAAAAGCAGTGTGTATGTGTGCAAGATAAGGTATATGAATTTTTTTCCATCTTTTTTTTTCAGAAAGCAGTGAACAACAACTTCCCATTTTCCTCTCATGACAACAGACATTGTTTACAGAATGTAGGAGAATATTTTGATTTTGTAAGTACCCAGCATTGAGGAAATCAGAATGTGCATGTGTCCCAGTCTGCCAGAGATTGCACACAGCATCCTTTCTCTCCCTTGCAAAAATCAAAATGCTCAGAACTGTGAGAAGGGAAAAATAAAAACAGCAGAAAAACATAATGTTTATTAGGTGTTACTTGGGTGTCCAATAAACATCTCCCAGTGCTTTTGAAAAGCTTTTAGAAGCTCCTTTTTGGAAAGACTTAAGATTTTGCACTGAGTCACATGCCCTCTTTGCTAAAAGCAATTGCCTTGTTTTGAGCTTTTGTCAACCACTCTTGAGGCAGTTGCACATAGTGGTTCACTAACCTTTATTAAAAAAACTAACCAAACTCCATAGGGCATCCCAGATATATTTTCTGAATGTATTATTTTCCAATTCATATCTTTGCATACCTATATTCTAGAAGCCACAATTTAAATTGTGTTTGACTTTTCTGTACATGCAACAGTTTAATGTTTTCCAGTTCTCCTTAGATGGTTGACATCTTTCTAGGCAGCAAAAGAAATAGCTCAGTTTAGGAGATTATGAAAAGAGGAGGAGGAAGGAAATTGTTATAATGAATGTTTGTCTGTCTGTGAATTCTCTTAGACATAAGATTTTAGGTATTTGATTTTCATTTCTATTAAATACCTCAATTTCTGTGCACTTTGTGTGACACTCCGTGTTTCATAGCTTTAGAGGTACTGATAAACTATAATTCCAACTAAATTTTCTGAAACCTACATAGTGAGCAAATCAGATTCCATCTTCCTGTTATTGGAGACACGAGTATTACACATTCCAGTTTTATTATCTGAGTCTCTTCTACAGTCCAAATATAACATTATTAACTTCATTCTTTGTTACACTGAAGATCAATCTAGCTGTTAGTTTGAGTGTAAAGTATGCTACAGAAATGCAAAGTGTAAGTGATTCATTAGTAATAATAGATGGAAAATCAATGTGTTTCTCTGTACGTATGGAGCCAGCAATGCACAGGCAAGCAGGCAGTATTATTTTTAGCTTAGACATGCCATGACTTCTTGAAATCACTGTGATAACAGCTTCATTAACTTCCCAAAGGATTAGTGACTGTTGCAAGCTTCATCTGTGAAACTGTCATCTCAAGTCTCATGCTTACAGGATTTTTTCTTTCTTTTTCTTTTTTTTTTTGTAGGGTTTTGGACGGAAGAAGGTTGAACCTGAGAGAAGGCAACAGAACTCACAAAACTTCTGCCTGTGGGCACATGAATCTGTTCCTAGCCGTGAGGATGGCTTCAGCATTTATCAAACATCATTCATGAAAAATCAAAATACTGAGCACCCATTCTGTAGGCGATATCCAAAACACCACTTAGAAAAGTGTTATGCTGACAAACCCATCCCTGAGGATGAAAGAAACCTGCAGCCAAACAAGCCACGTTAATTACAAAATCCCTCTTCTGTGAATCTGAACTCATCATTCAAACACATGATGAAATAAACATTTGTGCAATGTGACTTTGGTAGTGCAGTTGAGAGTTCATTTGAAACTAGCAATCATGTTGATTTCTCTGAAGACATGCATTACAATAACGAAAACTAATGAGAATTATGAGAAAAAGTATCCTCTATATATTTTTAGAAACAGCCTTATTAGAAGAATAGAGGTAGTGATTATACTCGTGTTGATCCTAGTTGATCTTCATCTTGCTAAGAAAGCTTCAACTTCAGAATCGAGGGCCTGGCTGTGTTCTCAAGGAGCTGACAGTGTCAGTTTTGACAGATGTATTTCCTCAACTGGATCCTCCAAGATTCACCACAAGGAGCCAAAACTCCATATTCAGGTATGGGATGAACCTTCCCGAAAGGTTTTATGGATATGCAGGCAGGCGACTAGCAGTTAGGGAAACTAGATAACAAAGCAGCTGGCAGTAAATTGATGTGCAAAATAGCTGTAATGTTGGGGTATAATATAGCAGTTGTGTAAGTAAAGAAAGGCTGATGCATGCAGTCATTATGTGCCTGTACAAGAATTTTTGAATTGTGTACATGCGTGTGTGTATTTTTGTATGCATCATTCATGCATAGGCATAAGGCAAGAAGAAGCTTAAGTTGAAAACAGAAGGTTTTATGAAGTCTGAGTTTAAGGTGGATTGGATTTGCAAAAAACTAATGATTTATAGTTACATGTCACTGGGAAAGTGAATTCAGGACCAGTCCTCCCAGCCCTCTACTCAGAACATTTACTGTCCTTAGGGTTTAGGAGGTATTAAAGTCAGGCCTTAAAATAATGTTTTCCACTTCTACATCATTTCCATTCATATAAATAATAAACCAAACTCTGTATCTTGAAGTATACTATAAATAAGCTTGTTGCTGTGCAAAATAATGTTGACTACAGAATGTAAAACATAAGTTTAAGGGATGGTTTACCTTGTTTACAAGATAAGTTGAACATAAATCGCTAACCCTGCTGAATTCACTGCATTACCAGAGGTGCCATGAAAATGAGCTGTGTTAAAAAATGGCTTCTGTCTTTCAATGAACTTATATATCTTTCTGTATCAGCATGCCATAGGTGACCTTTTTGCATGCCATCAAAAAAGACTGTATTAAAATGCTTCACCGAACATGTAGCAATTCTATTAGCACATACTGGAATAATAAACAATTTTTATGAAGTTCCCCCTACTAAAATTCTTGGGCGTGTTGCACAATATGCAGAAATGCAAAACATCATTAAGCCATGTTAAAAACAGACAGAGCCAAGTAACGTAGTGTTATTAAAAAAATTCTTTTTTCAAAGTAAAGGCAGCCTGCCTTGGGAGCTCTAGAATCAGAATTTCCAAAGCTTTCGCCAACAATTTCATCTCCACACTGAATCAAAGCTAAAGCGTGTGCCAATCACATGGCAAATGCAGTACCCCGTGCTGTTTGGCATACTCAAGAGGGCAATCTTGGACCTCCATCAGAAGGAAGAAGCACATTCTTCCTACATTGGTAATGTTTATCTGGGGTTTAACATTACAAGTGGATGTAGTGAAATAAATTGCTCTGGTTTGTTACGCTTTAAAACAGCAAGAGAAAGATACCAGATATTTTTGTGCCTTCTCCGCTTCTTTCTTTTTCTCACATTTTGACTCAGATGTGGGTTTTTTTTTAAAGTATTTGTGGATTAATTAGTTGTATGTTCTCCACAATATTGCAAGGAAGATTCTAGAGAAGAAACTGAAGAGATATGAAATGTCTATACTGACTGTGCACTAGAGTGTACATATAAACTGTATATACTATATATCTTTACACACTATTTTTAGTGCATGTACATACTATGCACTATTCTAGGATGAACAGGAAAAGCAATTCCCACATATCACAAACTCCAGCTGTTTTTCCTTTTTGGTAAATAACACTGTTAATGTACTGATTTTTGAAATGAATGACAAAAAAACACGTTGCAGAAACTCCTAGCCTTGCATACTTTGGATAGAAACCATTAGTATTATTTTATAATAATGTTTCTTAGGAGAAAGCCCTATTGAATTAAACCTTTTCTTGTTGGCTTGTTTGCATTTTTTTTGCAATTTCTTTCTCTTTTTATGGGTTGGGATAGAGTGGAGGAGAGCTAGCACCTGCTATAAAGGTTTCTTAGTCAGTAGAGGAAAGCCTAGAAGAAGGAGAACCTCTTTGCAAAGAGGAGAACCTCTTTGCAGGAACAGCAGGCTTCGTACTGTTGTTTTTCCAAACAAGCAGCTGTCTCAGCCCTCTATTTTTGGTCTTGAGCCTTCGTTGTTTTAGGGGCTGTCCTTACATCTTTAACTTTGCTACCCTGTGCAATTCTTAACTTATTTCATGTTAATTTGAATGCAGCTTCAGCAGGGTTAGCTAAATTTAGAGAATTAAAGCAAAATTGATTAAAGAAACTTAAACCAAGGGTATGGACAGACGGCTACAAGTTCCTTTGGTTTAGTAACCTAACGCTGAGCATGGTCGTAATTTAAGAGTGATCAGTTAATAGGGCAGAGCTAAAGAGTGGCATCTTTGTCACCACTCCATGCCCTGCTTTAAAGCTTTTGTTTAAACTGGAACCCAACCCTGTGCTTGGATCTGTAAAGTTGTGTCCACTTTTCTTTCTTCTTCCCTGCCTTAGCTGCTGAGCGCTGCATCTGGGAAGATCTCAGGCTGCTCCCTCCTGGACCGGACGGCTTCCTGGTGAGCTAAATGTCAGTCCTCCTTTCCTAGCTGTTTCACAGTTCAAAATATTGCAACCTAGGAAATGTTTTTAACAGCCATTTGACCCATTTGGACAAACTATTGATATAATATAATGGAAGATGAGTTTGTTTTTGCTACAATGTGAGGCAATGGACTCCTGTTGGAGAGCAGACTAAACCCCAAGCTTGTGCTGATTTCTGTACAGTGACACGGTGCAAGAAGTACTGTCTTTTTAGAGTGGATAATATTAAACTCCTATAAATGTTCCTATATTGGTTTAGCTTTTCCCTAATCAATCAAAATATTGGTATAACTCTAATGATGCTAATGTTGAACCGTAAGTATAGGCTTTAATATTAATGCTTATACTGTTACAGTGGCTTTGCTGGCTGAGAGAAATAGAATTTCTAATATAAGTAGAAACCTGGATTAGACTTGTCTTTAAATGGAGGTTCTTGTGGACTTCCTTTCTGGTTCTTAGTTTCTCCCTGTTTGAGTTGGGTCACAAATGAGCACGAGCTGACATGAACTAGAGAACTGTTTGGCTCTGGAATGAGAAAGGCCCATATGAGTCTGCCTTGCCCCAAATTTCCTGTGTTATGCCTTCCACCCTCACAAAGTATAAAAATAATGAGCTGTTACACATTATCTCTAGAATGTTTACTAAAGGGAAATATATTCTGCAGGGAAGTAGTCCTAACTGACCTTAATTTGGAAGTCTAGCAGTAGTGGGTGTGAGTGTATTAAAAGTACCCAGTTTATGATCAGGCAGCTGTGTAGTATTTATGAAAAACATGTTGTTAGCTTAGCCTCTCCTCTGATGCCAGTTTGTTGTACTTAGTAATACTGACCTAAAAGTGAAATATTTCGTATTATCCTCCTTAACTCTTGAGTACAGAAAACATCTGGCAGTATCAAGAAGAGTTTAGCTGCATCCTATTTATGATGGTGCTTCAAGCCCTCACACGCTGCCCATTTAAAATAGCTGCTGTTCTTTCCTCTAGTCTTATTTCAGGGAGAAGTTATAGATTATGACATGATGGCACAATTTTTCTTTCCTCACATTGAAGCTCCTCACATTGAAGGTGTTCCACAGAATATTTATCTGTTTGCTAGATCAGCAAGGGGAAGTGCACATACCTACATAGGTGAGCATGCTCCTCTAGCCCTAGGTCCTTGTAAAGTTATAGATTATGACATGATGGCACGATTTTTCTTTCCTCGTTTACTCTTTCCTCACATTGAAGGTGTTCCACAGAATATTTATCTGTTTGCTAGATCAGCAAGGGGAAGTGCACATACCTACATAGGTGAGCATGCTCCTCTAGCCCTAGGTCAGCGTCCTTGTGCAGCTGACTTAAATTTAAAATAAACCTTAACTGAAGCACGGCCTCCTTGCAGATGAGTGCCCAAACCACGGAACTGGAGAAAGCCCCTGCTTTCTTTGAAGCCCAATCAATATTTAACCATTTCATACAAAATGCAGCAGCTTGGACAAAATGCATACAGAATGGTCTCTTCTCCAGACTACTTTAAAAAAAGCTCAGAAAATCAGAATAATCTTAGGAATATGCTTTTTTCTTCCTGTGGGATGTCAAGAAATAGTAAAATGATGATCATAAAGTGCTATATTAATAGCAACGAATTAATCTTTACATTAGCCCCACGAAGTACTGAAGTAGTACTACTCGTGTTACAGATGACTTAATTGTGGCCTGCTGCAGTGATAGTGACTCAGAGTCAGTGGCAAGAGCCATGGCTGTAAAATGGACTTTTGCTGTAACCACCACTTCCTTAGTTCCTGTTAGATAGACTTGCTATCTACTACAACTAGATTTTGGATTTTATTGCCTGTTAAGTGTATTATTTTAAGAAACTAATGGCTGTTTGTACGTTC